GGACATAGCTTTTGGAAGTTAGTTGAGCAACAGCTGCAGAAACTAAACACTGTAAGCATGCTGCAAGTTGTGTGGGCAGCACATGGTTAGAGCTGTCTCCTCTCAGCAAGAAGGGCGCAGGACCGCTTCCCAGCCTGGGGTTTGCATCTTCATGGGTTTTCTCCAGGTACTCCAAGGGAGGTGCCCAGGAGGCATTTTAATCAGGTGCTTGAACCACCTCATCTGACTCCTTCTAGGCTTGGGTTCTCTACTCTGACCTCCTTCCCCTGGATCACGGCACTCCTCACTCTGTTTCGGAGGCTACAAACCTGGGATCTCTGTTTCAGACATAATCCAACCTGTTAACCATTGGTGAGGATTAAAATATAGCTGGATCAATAAGTTGAGAGCTTTGTGTTTTAACATGGCTCTTTTTTCACCACAGCAGACCAGAGCAACAGTGTTGTGTTGAAGATTGATCACTGTGCTGTAAATATGCTGACAGAAGAAGAATGCTGTTTTCACTCACAGTAACACTGATCTTCAACTCTGCCTCGTGAAAGTGAAAAAAAATCCAAATGTTTTTGAAGCTGGAAGAATATCGGTTACCAAAAAAATCACAAATTGTGTTAGTTCAGAGAGACATCATTTATGATTATTTACCCAGTTTCTGTTTTTTTTAAATTATTTGCATTTGAACGGTTTTATTTAGGAGTTTTTATTATTCTACGCCAGTAGAAGGTGGTCGTATCATGGTAGTCTCCTTCCATCCGTCCGTCCATAAAATTTATTTTGTCCCGTCCATACTTTCTGATCCGCTCAAGCTAATTAAACAAAACTGGATAAACCTAACATCATTAGACAGCGCATTGTGTAATCGTTTCGTCATCCCTTCTTCAACATCAAGGTCACAATTCAAGGTCAAATGTTATACAAGCTCTTTGCTTCTCCAGGACTGTTGCTCTAGATTGCTGTATTGCTTTAAATAAAGCAGGAGTGCCAAATGCGTCGACCACGATCTACCGGTCGATCACAAAGGCATTATGGGTAGATCGGATGGCATTAAAAAAATAGACATCAGTCTCTCATTCATCCTCACTATGAAATGTGTCACTTGATTGACAGACAGGGCATCCAGTCACAGCCCTCATTCTCTCAAACCTGCTCTCAGGGTGGAGATTTTTTGGGGAAATATTTATATTTATCCATATTTAGCCCCTCCCCCACCCCATGAAATTCTTTGTGTGTGAAGTAGTACATGTTCACTACAGGCGGCTGCAGTCAAAAGTTTTTCTGGACTAACAACAGTTATAATAAATGTGAGTGTTTTTGTGCTGCTCACCCTTTTTCAGCATGTAGGAGGAAAACTAATAAAATCCACTTCCAAAGAGACGTTAGTGTATTCACCAATTTGGACGTAACTGTGATCATGCAGACGCTACGTGCACAATGAATGCAGCTGAGCCAGGGTTGCCAGATAAATTTAAAATGTCTTATTTACCCACTCCTTTTCTGTGCACATGTTCAACAAACACAATACACACCTCATCTTAGAATATCTTTACTTAGTTAGCACATATAGTTCATAATTTCTAATCTGGCAACCCGACTGACGTGGAAACTACAGCATTTTTTGTGTAAACCCACTCTTTTTTTTTTCTTTGTTTATTAACCCAAAATAAACATTGAAAAAACACTAACGTTTCCAGAGGCCGTTCTCATGTAAACGGGGCCTTGTAGTAGTTAGATCACTTTGACTTGGTCATTTTAAAAGTAGCTGCAGGATGAAAAAGTATGGGCGCCCCTGCTCTAAAGTATTTGTAGACAGGAGTATAATGTGATGTATGCAGTACTCTGGTTCTGTTTTGTTTGATCTTTGTGTCTCTCTTGCTGCTTTGGAAAATAATCTTGACCAAAACTACATATTTTTGTCAAATCTAACCTTAACCATTTTATGTGAGTCACTTTTGAATCTGACTTTGTCCACCCTCACTGTCGCATCAGCAGCTGTACACCAGACCTTTATACGGCCTAGTAACATCATCCATGCTGAGTGTATGGGTTTAACTTCAAATGTTAAACCCATACACTCATCATACACCAGACCTTTATACAGCCATAGTAACATCATCCATGATGAGTGTATGGGTTTAACTTCAAATGTTAAACCCATACACTCATCATACACCAGACCTTTATATAGCAATATCATGCATGAGTGTATGGGTTTAACTTCTGAAGCTAAACCCATACACTCATCATAACTTATCCATTGTATGATGAGTGTATGGATCTGAAACCATACACTCTCCCACCAGCAGCTTCTACACTCAGACATACGCTCCCAACGGATGGGTGTGGTTATGGGAAGTGTTGGCAGCTGTGTTTGTCTTACTTCTGTGTGTGGGTGGGTGTTAGGTCATGTTTGTCCAGGGATGCAGTGTTAAGGTCATGTCTCATTATGATATGATTTGTGAGTTATTTATGTTAACGAGTAAAAGTTGAGTAAGTTTGATGTAAAGAGAAACGTTGAACAGCTGCCAGCGGTGTGTGTAGTGGTGACCCAACACCTTATTTTACCATATATTTATTTTCAGGGGAGTAGAAGGAAAAGTACTTGGAGCTGTGCTAATCTCTATTACTTGTTTGGGGTTTTCATATGTTTTTATTCAGAGGAGCATAATAACCACTGCATCAAGGTCACAACTTGTGATTTTTTTAGATACTTTCTGAAAGGGCTTAAAACTGAAATAAGGCTTATTAGTATTCCTTCAAGGGAAGCAAAGCACCTGCTGCCTTTCATGCAAGAGTTTTAAAACTTTTGTGGAGATATTACATATTGGTAGTTATAACGGTTTGGGTCAAATTATAAAAAAGTCTCAGCTATTGTGACTATGTTTTAGCTCAACTTCAAAACTATTTCAGTTTAATTTGGTTTATTTCTGTAGCTCCAAGTCACAACAGAACTTGTCTCAGGACACTGAACAGACACATCCCAGCAGATTGTGTTGAATCTTTAATTCGTCACAGTCTTCCATCCTGAGCAAGCACAAAGGAGACAGTGGAAAGGAAAAACTCCTTTAACAGGAAGAAACCTCCAGCAGAACCAGGCTCAGGATGAATGGCCATCTGCTTTGACCGGCTGGGTTTGAGAGAAGAGGAAGGAGAGACAGACACAGAATGACAGGTCCAGATGTACTTTCTATAGGAGGAAAGACGAAACACACGTTAAGATAGAACAAAGTCCATGCTCAATAATCCAGGTATACAATCCAACATTTTTCAGTCAGGTCATCTGGACAGTTTTTTTTTTGTGCTGAAACGTTTCGCCATCGATCCAGAAGGCTTCATCAGTCAAGGAAACACGCAACAAAACTGATTCTTCCGCCAACAGCTTACTCCAAAGTGGAACAAACCAGTTCTGCTTGTGATTAGATGGTCTCTTTGGTACACCCCTCTTCCATTGCCGGCCCTCTTCCTTGTTGACAGTCTTGTCAAACTGGTTGAAAACAACAAAGTCCATGCTCAATAATCCAGGTATACAATCCAACATTTTTCAGTCAGGTTATCTGGACATGATGACTGATGAAGCCTTCCAGACTGAAGGCGAAACGTTTCAGCACAAAAAAAAAAAAACTGTCCAGATGACCTGACTGAAAAATGTTGGATGTTAAGATAGAAATAATTAAAATGCAGAGTAGCGCAAGTAAAGACAGCAGCAGAGTGATGAAATGTGGGCAATTTGTCCTCCAGCAGTCTAAGCCTATAACTGCAGAACTGAGGGTGCATTCACACCAACCCTGTTTAGTCCGCTTTAATCGAACTCTAGTTCGATTTCCTAGGAAGTCCGGTTCGTTTGGGGAGGTGTGAATGCGCCATCGAACTCTGTCACGGAACAAAAATGCGAACTCTGGCCCGGGCTAAAACCTAGGTCTCGGTCCGGTAGAAGAGAACTCCAGCGCGGTTCAAGTACAGTGTGAATGTAAACAGACCGGGCCCCACTCCACAACCAAGAAGTGGAGTGCAGCGCAGGGCAAACACACATTTCTCTTATTTTATATGGAGCTGTCAGCTGCCTTGTGTGAAAAACAACATTCTCCAGGGTCTTCTGTCTCATCTTCTGCTCATGCTAAGTCCATTTTTGAAAAATTACTAAATATAACTCCTAAAACTGCTAAAACTTGATGCCACTCCGTTTTTATTTTTATTTCCAGAAGAAGACGTGTCTTCAGAGGTTTTTGTGTCGTTTCTTTCAGTAGTTCTTGGTGCAGCGCCCCCACAGGCGAGCGAGGGAACAGGTTGGTTCAACAGGTTGACTCGACTGCACAGTGCAGTGTGAATGCAAACTCACCAGCTCAAATGTAAACAAAATGTTATTAATATTGGTCCCCAACCGAACCAAGTCTACCGGACTATCAGGTGTGAAAACAACCTAAGGGATAGCTCAGGAAACCCAACCCGACCCTAACTATATAACTATATGCTCATGTTCGTGATGCTGTTTGATATAATGTTTTTATGCTTTTAGTGCTTAGTGTATTTTTAGTTGATGTTTTTCTTAGTTCATATCATAGATGTTATCATTGTTTTTCTTTTACATTTTATTGTTGGATGTAACTGGGACCCTGTGTACATAATTTCGTCCCACCACATGTACCACATGAGGTGCGAACGACAATAAAGAATCTCTGACTCTATAGGATTTATCAAAAAGGAAAGACTTGAGCCACATTTTAAAAGTAGATAATGTGTCAGACTCACTGACAGAAACTGGAAGTTGGTTCCTCAAGAGAGGAGCCTGATAACTGAAAGATCTTCCTCCCATTCTGCTTTTGGAAACTCTAGGAACCACAAGTAAACCTGCAGTCTGAGAGTGAAGTGCTCTGTTAGGAAAATATGGAACAATAAAATCTGTAATATAAGATGGAGCTAGGTTGTTGAGCGTTTAAAGACACGTATATCACAGTCTGGATTGTGTTTATAAAAGATGATCTAAACTTTTGCTACAAATCTTGTTACAGGTGACCAATGAGACGTTTCACACAAATCGGCCTGACCTCCCGGAGTGTTTCCAGCTCTCTGTACTGTCATGGCTGCCATGCATCTTCCTGTGGGGCGCCTTTCCTGTTTATCTCTTCTACCTAAAGATGAACAAGAAAGGATACATCATGATGTCTCTTCTGAACAGGATCAAAACAGTAAGAACTGCATTAACCTATATGTAATGTTTGTTGTACTACATTTTTTTTCAATGAAGACAGAAAATGAACCATCTGTTGGGTTACTTTTCATAATTTGATTTTTTTTTTTGTACCTGAACTGTTGATTGTGCAGGATGGATATATGTGACCACCTCTGGTTAAAGTTTCTGTTGCTGACTTCTTTTTCTAAAAGACTAAAGGGGATTTGTTGCCTTCAATCACTACAAATCTAAGCAAATTTGTCATTACAAATAGGCCCGTCACGGTAACAAATTTTGCTGGACGATTTTAGAAATTATTGCAATGAACGATAATAGTGTTTAAAATAACAATAATTAATTGTCAAATTTTAGAAGAAATGTAGATTTGTTTGGAGTGTAGTACCTTTTTTGACCACCTGATGGCAGTATAATACCGTTTGAACCAAAGGATGGATAGTTGAGCAGCATGTCTCTTTAAGAAAAATGGGAGTGAGGGCCCTTGACGTGGGCAGCACGGTGGCGCAACTGGTAGAGCTGCTGCCTCTCAGCGAGCAGGTCCTTGGTTCAAACCCCAGTCCAGGGGCCTTTCTGGGTGGAGTTTGCATGTTCTCTCCGTGCATGCATGGGTTTTCTCCGGGTACTCCAGTTTCCTCCCACAGACCAAAAACATGCATGTTAGGCTGATTGGTAACTCTAAATTGTCCCTAGGTGTGAGTGAGAGAGTGAATGGTTGTTTGTCTCGTTTGTTTCTATGTGTCCCTGTGATGGACTGGAGACCCGTCCAGGGTGTACCCCGCCCCTCGCACAGTGATTGCTGGACATGGGCAAATGCGACCCCCATGACCCAAAATTGAATAAGCGGGTAAAGATAATAGATGTATGGATGGATGGCCCTTGACGTGACATGGGCTGACATGGTGAAATGGCGGACGCTCGGTGATTTGAGCTCTTTAGCGTAGCATTTTTCACACAAAGCTTTTAATAAAAATTAAAAAAATCAGTAAACAAGTTCTCAGCTTCTTTTTGCAGAGAAAAACAATTTTTAACATGAACGCACAGATTTCAACCGTGAATTTTGGAGCTCGACAGGATGGAGTTTTATTCCTGAGGTCGGCCTGTTAGCTCGTAGTTCAGCTTCTCAGCTTAGCTGCTTTTAACGATCCAAAAACGCGATTTTGGATGGTTAAAACTGATTTTCAAGAGAAAAGAGAAAGGGAGGGGTCAGTGAAGAGCACCAGAGTTAAGCTTTTTGTCATCCAGTGTCTTCAGTAGAAAGAGAGACACGATGAAACGATAGTCGATAAATGAAAATGAGGTCGATAATTTTAATTTATCATGCAATTAATTGATTTATTGTTTATCGCAACATGCCTAAATACAAATGTATCACTTTTAAGAATTGCCTTTTTGATTCTAACATTTGGGATGTCTGCCTTGGGGCGGTATCTTTTTTTTAAATTACAGTTACACTGTCCCAACTTGTGTTGCAGTTTTTGGTATTGCCCTCTTATTGAAAAGCTTGTGGCATTGTCTCATTACTGCATGTGATTTATGGTTTCTAAAGTATTTTTGAACTTACTTTCTCTTATTAAAAATGCAACAAACGAGTATTATTTTGTCATGGTTATATTACACTGAATACTTTTTATACACAAATAAAACTAGAGTTTAACTCATCCACACAATCTGGTAGAACTGGTAGCAATGTAAAAATAATTAGCAGAGTCTATGGTAGGAAAACTGCAGCGGTAGTCTAGAGTAAAGAGAAAGTAACAGTTGTCATGACGAGAGGAAGAGAAGAATTTTGTAATTACACCGAGCAGTAGTTCTGCTCTCCAAGGTGAAGTCATTACGTAACCATAAATCATTTTATGTCAGGGTTTTTTCAGGTAAGGTTAAATAAGAACATGTGAGGCTGCTCACCTTCTTCTGACAGGTTTTTTAATGAATAAAACATATTTATCATTTCAGATAGACATGTCGGCATGAAACATCAGTTTGAACTCTTACATTAATTTATTATTTTTTATTCTTAGTAACTCAACTATTTTGAGCTTAAATGTGTTTCTGTGTATTGTAACAACAAATTAAAAGTTTTTTAATGCCAGATGCATTTTTTTGCGTTTTGTTTTACTGAGCAGATTCAAGTTATCGGCACATTGTTTCCTTATGTAATTAATTAATTTTAGCTGCATTCTTAGTGTTAGACCAGTAAGTCAGTAGTCTTGTGTCAACAGAAATACTAAATGTTTTTGTAGAAGTGGACAAAATAAAGATTTCATCTAATTGTTATTTGCTTCATTTCCACTTGCATTAAAGTTCTAGAAACAAAGTCATGTTTAGGTAGGAATAGAAAAAGCATTGACTTCAACTGCTTACAGTCAAAATCAGTTGTGTGGCACCTTCCCACTGGACTGTGCTCCATCGGGCAGTATAATAAAATTCTTTGCCATTGCAATATCAGAGTGCGTAGTATCAAAGTATTACAATAAATCACAGACCCAAACTAGATTTAATTGATTAATTAATAATAAATAATAAATTAATTAATAATTAATAATTAATAATTAATTAATTAATTTACTGGGCACACAGATGAATCCTTACTGTCTGATTTCGAATGAAGCTGAAAGCTAAAGCAACACTGATGCTGATGATTAAAGTCATTAAATCAAGGGTCTTAAAAGCATTAAATCAAGGTGTTAAAGGCATTAAATCAAGGGTGTTAAAAGCATTAAATCATGGCATTCAAGCATTAAATCAAGGCATTAGTCATTAAATCAAGGGTGTTAAAGGCATTAAATCAAGGTGTTAAAGGCATTAAGTCAAGGGTCTTAAAAGCATTAAATTGTGGCATTAAATGCATTAAATCATGGCATTCAAGCATTAAATCAAGGCATTAGTCATTAAATTAACGGCGTTGAAGCCATTAAATCAAGGTGTTAAATGCATTAAATCAATGGCGTTATAGGCGTTAAATCAAGGTGTTGAAGGCATTAAATCGAGGTGTTAAATGCATTAAATCAATGGCGTTATAGGCGTTAAATCAAGGGAGTTGAAGGCATTAAATGAAGGGAGTTGAAGTCATTAAATTGAGGGCATTGAAGGCATTAAATCAAGGGCGTTGAAGGCATTAAATCAAGGGCGTTGAAGGCATTAAATCAAGGTGTTAGTCATTAAATCAAGGTGTTAAAGGCATTAAATCAAGGGCGTTGAAGGCATTAAATGAAGGGCGTTGAAGGCATTAAAT